TACACTGGAATACCAATAAAAACATATATTTGTGTATGTGTCTGTGGCTGTGTAGGGTAAAGAATTGTATTTAACGCATATTAAAAGGCAAACGAAAGTATGCAACATCGTTGCACTTACAAATACACACACACACACACACACACACACTAGCAAGGTCCTGCCTGCATAGTAGACAGCTGACGTTGTACATGGCGTGTACGTGATGTTATTTTAGCGCTGGCATACCGATGCTCCTACATACATATAGCGATATACACAATGGTGTGTCGCCTGGCTTGCGTAGGTGCTCGCTGTCAAGCTTCTGCAGTTACTATTTTATGTGTGAGTTCTCCACCTGATCCTTTTAACGGAGTGGAGGTCTTGATCTTCCTCTGCTTCCACCAACGGGTACTGCATCGAATATTGAAGTGCTTTGTTGTCTCTTCATTCGCTTAAGTACTTAAATATCATCGTATAGCTTGTATAGCTCATCGTACCATCGTTTGTGGTATTCGCGAAGCCAACCCGCAAAGGTCCACAAATCGTTCGCAAAATTGTTCTCTTGAAGACTTGTAGTAAAGCCGACTCATCAGCTGTTGACATCGTCAATTGCCTGCTTAGTCCAAAGCAGCACCTGTTGGCAAGAGTGATTCTGCATTGAATTTCTAGACTGACATTGTTGTTGGTGTTGATGCTGGTTCCTAGATAGACGAAATTATCTACGACCTCGCATTTATGACTGTCAACAGTGACGTGGGAGCCAAGTCGCGAGCACGATGGCTGTTGCCCTCGTTCATTATCAGACCCACATTCTCCGCTTTCTTATTAAGTCTAGAGAAAAGAGAACTTACCTTCTCTATTCAGCTCAGCAGCTGATATTATTTTAGCCAGCAATAAATCAAAGAGGTCACACCCTGTCTGAAACCTCAATTGGTATCGAGCCGCTCAGAGGAGAGGTCACTTCCGACGGGGTTTTTAGTGTTGCTTCACGTCGGACAAAATGCTCGGCAGGACCTTATAGACGATATTAAGCAGGCTCATCCCACGATAATTGGCTCAGACTATAGAATCGTCCCTTTTGTGGATTGGACAGAGCAATCTTAGTTTGGCGCTACGTCCGGGCTATATGGTGGATGCGATAAAACCTCCCATCCGAGCTCCCGTAGCTTCTGACGAGTCATCAACGAAGTGTGTGGTCTGGCGTTGTCCTGGTGGAACACTAGGCCCTTCCTGTTGACCAATTCTGGACGCTTCTGGTCGATCGCCTGCTTCAAGCGGTCCAGTTGTTCGCAGTAGATGGTAGAATTAGACGTCTGGCCATATGGGAGCAGCTCATAGTGGATGATTCCCTTCCAATCNGTCAAAAGAGGACTCCTTTTTTCGAGCCGGGATCCGAAAATTGCCGGAAAGATGGGAGAAAGTTGTCCCTAGCGAAGGACAATACTTTGAATAATATATCTGTATGCACTTTTCGCAATAAAGCTTTAAATTTTGGAAAAAAATGGCGGAAGCAAAGTTGTACACCTGATACTATAATTTATTTCAATTTACCTAATTTAACTTTGTATTATATTAACCTGTAATTTCATTTTTATTCACTTAGGTTTGTTTTATTTTATTTTATTTGATTTTACTTTATTTTATTTCATTTTATTTTATTTTATTTTATTTTATTTTATTTTATTTTAAGCTACTCAGCTACTCGGCGCTATTTTATCCCACCTACACAGCATCTGATCTTCCAACAACAACTGTGTACTCATTGATTGACAGATTTAGTAAGGTAATCACTAAAGTTATCCTGTGAGTAAATATCCTTAACAAAATGAAGTGCTTAAGCAACCTTGGGGAGTCTTGCCTTCTCAGACTTCAAAATGACACAAAAGCCATTTCAGTTAATTTAGAGGAAATTTTTATAATAACTTATGAAAATTTACACATGCACAACAAGATAAGTAATAAGAAAGAGAAAAAAAAGCTAGAATGGAAAAAAATTGGAAAGATGGCTGTGTTGACGCATAATAAAGCAAGAGAAAATTAAAAAATGAGACAATTTTGCAAATATTTTGCGAACAGCGAGACACAGCTGGTGGACCATACAGTCGTACAGCCAATAACAACAAAAGCAACAATGACTGAGAGATATATGAGATTTTGCAATATGCGAACGAAAAGGCGAAAAGGAAGATTCTATGAAAGGAAGATACAAAATACATTAAGTAACAACAATGCGAGCCCAACAACAACAAAAAATGGTGAAAAGTTCGGCGCTAGCAAATGAAGTGAGTCGGTGTGTCGCTCTGAGCGGAATTCACAATCATGAAAATTTAGCAATTTTTCATCAAAGCCAGTCGCAACAACAACAATAAAGGGCGCGCATATTTTAAATTGGTAACATAATAATCATAAAAATAACAAAAATAACAACAACACTGGTTAGGGAGAGGTAACAACTGGCTGTTGCTCCGTAGCAGCTCATCAATATTGCGTGAATAATGTGAAAATGCTAAAGAAATTTATTTGTATGTATATGTACGGACAGGATAAGAATGTCCAATAAGAACGTTGGAAAAACTGAGATAACAACAAACTTTCTACGACAACAAGTAATAAGCAATAACATTAACGACAGGCAGGAAAATGAAATTATTGAATATTTCCTCATTCAAGAAAAATTTTAAATCTGCATAGGATAATGCTAATTTATTTACTAATATATTGCCCATAAGTATGTATATGTCTACAATGTAAGGAGAATACATACGTATATTTCATATTGAATATATTTTGATATATTTTGCTTATTAGATCTTAGGGATATTGAAGAAGAAGAAGTATATATAAGCCATCATTGTCAACTTTAAGTCCCTTGCGGTGGGGTAAATAAAATTTTAGCAGGAAATAAGTTTTGCTGCGTAAATCTCTGAAAGATGACATTTGTGATGTTTTGTTAACCATAGAAAGGAACTGAGAATTAAACAATTAATTTTGTTTCCTTTTTTAATTTTTTTTTTTAAATTACTAATTATTTAATTTAATTTAATTTTATTTTATTTAATATAATTTAATTTAATTTAATTTAATTTAATTTTATTTAATTTTATTTTATTTTATTTTATTTTATTTTATTTTATTTTATTTTATTTTATTTTATTTTATTTTATTTTATTTTATTTTATTTTATTTTATTTTTTTTTATTTTATTTTATTGTATTTTATTCTATTTTATTTAATGTTATTTTATTTATTTAAATTTTTTTATTTCAACTAAATTATATTATTTCTTTTATATACATAAAAATTTTTTGTCTATAAGTTTGTCCTGCTTATAAATATTTTCGTAACCTTTTAACCAATCTCTGTTGGTTATTGATTTAATTTTGCCTTTCATAGCTTCTTTTATTTACTAACTAAACAATTCACATTTTCGCATATTTTACTTATTTTCTCTTTTAGTTATTTATGAGCTAGATATACACACAATAATGTATCATATAAATATTTAGCATTAGTAGTCCAGTGTTTTATTATAAAATCTAAAAGTCAGTTTTATTACGTTTTTTTATTTTATTTTATTTTTTCCTTATTTACTTTTATATAATTTAAATTTTTTATATGCTTTTTCTATTGCTTCCTAGCATATTTAAATTAGAAAATAAATTCCAATTTTAGTTTATTTCAATTTAAATATTTTTTCCTTTTCTTTTTTGTTGTGGCAAAATGCATATTTTAGAATATTTATCTAAGTTAGCAGCTGACCGTTATACTGCAAACATGCATACATACGCACACATGCTCTTTTTTTACATATATGCATATATATTTACTCGTATATGTAACAGTTAACAATATCCGAGTATTTTGAATTGTATCCGCTGGCTGTAGTGATGAAATATGCGTATGCGGTCGGAATCAAAATAATATGTACACATGTGTGATTGTATGTGTGCAAGATGTATGATGAGAAAAAATGAATATTTTCATTATATGAAATATGCCGCTAGCCTTGTTATATTATATGTTTGTGTGCCAGTAAATAATCGACTTTTAGTTTCCAGAAACCTTGTGCATATTTTTGCCATTTAGCAGTTATGATGTTAAGAAATTTAGTAATCCCACACAGGATTAATAGATTTTCAAAAACGAATACAGGTTCTGGTGCTTACAAGTACTTAGTAAAATTTTAATATTTATATTTTTTTTTTAATATTCATCTTTCAAAACTAAGTTGTTCCCACAAGGCAATCATTTTCAATGGTTTTTCTCTATTTATTTTTTAGTATTTTCATATTTATTACAACCACAAGCACAAACATATGTACAATAACCGAAGAATAATGACTTTAGTAAGAGAATTATAAAACTTCAAAAACAACAATGAAACGTCTAGACGTAAGAACTATGCCGCATGAAGTGACTTCAGGCAGCAAGGAAACATAAGGAGCCAGTGACTGCCGTTCGCCTAACAGCTAATACGCATTTTGAGAGTTAGAGTGAAAGGGAGGGTGGAATTGTAAGAAACAATGCCAACACATATTTTGTTGTGTTGAAAATTTGAAAGAAAATTCTTTGCCCACACGTATGTATGAGCTTAAATATAATATTATTGCATATGTGTGCCCTTCTGACTGCATACTTGCATGTCTGTGTTATAAATTCTTGCCTAAATGACCTTTGTTTGTGTGTTTGTGCTCGTGTTTATGAATTGTCTCAAGTTCAGAGTTCATTGGCGATGACATTTCATAAATTGGTTGTAATAAAAACGTGACCGAAGTTGTTATGCGGTACTTTGGTATTAAGTTGCAGGGAATTTCTTGAAGCACGCAACATTATAAATAAAAATGGATTTATAATTTAAATTTTTTTTTCAAATACACAAAATAGGTGATTTACGGTAATAAAAAATTGATTTATATTAACTACTTATTTGTTTAGAGAAAGAAATAGTTTTCTTGTTTTTATGCCAATATATTGATTTTTTATTAAATTTTTGCTAAGCCAATCACATATATACACACCTTTATTTTCGTCTCTAGCTTCTTTCGTTTTTACTTGTTATTTAGCAAAACGCAGCAATAATTGAAGATGACATAGAGTAACGCGATATCAAGAACTGAAAATACAAGAAAGGCTTTAATTTAAAACACATTTCGATAAAAAATTGAATTTTTAAGATAAAATTTTAAAATAAAAAATATTATGAAGTCGAAATATATAAAGAAAAAAAATGCAACACAGCCTCCTTCAACACAATAAAACTGAAAACAATTTATGAGGAAAATTGACAACGTTGCACAAGTAATTTTTAAGGTTTTTGTGTTCATTTTTTCAAAAAATATTAGAAAAGAAATATTCTAATTGAAAATTGATGATGATTGGCAATATTGTAGTTATTTTTTTTCAGTATAAAAATTTATGACACACATATTTTATCACGAAAAATTAAAACGTTTTATTGAAATAAAATAACATAAATAAAATTTTACACAAAAATTAGTAGCACTGCTAAACGCTTTCTGCGATGAAAATTGCTAATATCACTGCAAATGGAAATATTGCTATTAACTAATTACCAATACAGTTTTCCCTATTATTTATAAGAAAAAAATTCTAAAAGGAAAATTTACAACGTTGCTCGAAGTTTTTTTTATTATGCAAATTGGTAAGCAAATAATTTTATGTGGAAAATTGGCAACACTGCATAACACAAAATACAAAATTTAATAAAAATAATAGAAGGAAAATGTTTTGAGGAGAGCCGACAACGTTAGTCATAGAATTTTTCAACAAAATATTTTTAATTACGAAGATTATCAACGCTGACAATATAATCAAAGTACTTGCAAGTTTTTTTTTTCGCAGAAGAAAATACAAATTTAGGTAGTAAATTCCCATCAACAAAGGTGCAAATTTAATAACCGTTGTTTAGAGAAATTTCTACAAGAAAAACTAAGAAACTTTTTGATAATGCATTTCTTATTTTTACATTCAATAAAACAAACTCTCTTCCTAAACTGCGTGCAACTGCAGAAAAAGTTTTCTTAATCAGCAAGCATGAGAAAATTGGCAACATTGCAAGTGTGTATGTCTTAGAAACGCACTTTGTAAGTAAATTTCATATTAACTCTGCATCGAATTTCATTCAATGCGTTACAAAATTAATTTACCGCAAAATTAATTCAACTTACCAAGCGATATCGTATAATATGCCTTCAGAAATGCTCGCCCATCTCTCTTACAACAATTTGCTATGAGTGAAATGAGTAGCAAAAATACTTCAATATATTTGTAGCGCAGAAAGTTCACTAGCATGTTGATATTGCGCTAAAAAAAATAACTAAAATAGTTTGTAGTAAAATGTCAACAAAAATGCATACATCATTAATCGCCTTGAGTAAAATAAATGCAGCACCGGCGCGTAGTAAGTCGGCGAGGAGAGAATTATAGTGGAAGGAAACACAGGACGCTGGGAGAGAAGAAAATTATAGAAAATTTTAATAAAGCATGATGAAAGGATTAATAAGAGTCTGAGCTATGAAAATTCAGTTCGAAAGCTGAAGATATTTATTTCATTTTGTTATAATGGTAAATATTGGAAATGCTGTATTACAAATTTTGTATGCCTTAAATCACTGAACCACATGTTGTTAGAGAATTGGCAACAGTGTTCGCTTAATTTTTTTTTATAAATAATTTACTTTTAGGCGAACTCATCTAGCATCCGTTATATTTCAAGATTTTGTTTTTTTAGTAAATAAACTTTAAATATATATTTTGTCGTTCACTCACTTTTCACAAATCGTATTAAAGCCGAATCACAGCCACTTATTTGTATTGTCCCCAATTTGGCATGCACAATCAGTACAAATGAATGGAACAATGCACAAGTTGTCCAAAATACCACGCTTGTGAAAGCCAAAGCCAAGGCCGTATCCTCTTGCGTATATGCCATGGGTGCTATCAAATATCCAATGCCACGAATTCTTTTATCAATTACTGCTGCTAGCTTTTACGTCATGAGTGGGTGGCAAATTTTTCGGAATTTTTAACAGAAAATTTTGTGAATCGCGCAAATTTTGTTTGTGAATAATTGTAAATAAATTTTTTGAAATTCATCTTCAATTGTTTTTGACAAGAAAAATTATTTCATTTTTTACATTTTAATACACTGTGAGGAGCTTAAAAGAATTAAATAAATACTGCCTTTGCGTGAAATATATTTATTAAAAAAAACACATATTTTTATATTAATTTTTTTTTTTCCAGGTAAGGGTCTATAAATTTATTTTATGAGAAAGGAAAATTGGCAACGTCCCAAGTAAATGGAGTTTAAAGTAATTGTTGAAGAATTGTTAAGATATCTTTTACTTTAATTCCAAACTTATATTATTGTTTAAAATTTTACCTTATTTACTAATAACGATTTTTTAGTTTGTTCAAGGTAGTGGGAAAAATGGCAACAAGACAGAAGTTAACCATTGTACAAGTTTATTAAAAATCAGTATTTAAACATTTCTTATTTTCCTTCTCGTTTAAAGTGCAAAGAAAAATGACAACGTCGCAAATAAATTGATAGCGATTTATATCCGTTCTATTGAAATATAATAGAAGATTTGACAAACCTTTTTAGATACATATATCTTTTTACATTTATATCTTTTATATAGCAAACTGTTTAAAATTAAATTTTGTCTTTCAGTAAGAAAAATGCAGTATTTCATCTTTGCAAAATTCTTATATGAATTTCTTTACGATATTGGGAAATTGGCAACATCGCAAATGAATTAATGATGGCCCTTTTCTTTTGACTCATTATGTTTATTATACTTTCTATCAAAAATAAATATTAGAACATTTAAAAAAAATAAATTATTAAAAATATATTAAAAGTAGTATTAAATGTTGTTCTAAGCCTATATAAATCTTTTCAGAGAAAAGGGAAAATTGGCAATAATGCAAGTGGAAATATTTTTATTATATTTGTTTTTTTTTATTTTTTTTTTTTTTGTGTTGCAGATATTGACTTTATGAACTCATTTAAAGATCAAGGGAAACAGGCCATGTTGCAAGTGAATTGAGTTCTTTGGCATATTTTATACATATCTAAATATTGCTCCATTTCTATTTATAATAATATTTAATAAATTTGATATTAAACGAAAACTGTATGGCAAACTCCACGCCACAAAAATGTTTAACAATTCTTTTATAAAAAACAATTTTTGGAAATAAATAATATTTTACAATTAAATCTTTTTAAAAGAACAAAATAGGTAATGTAATACTGTTATTCTTAATTCCATTATTTGATAAACCTTTTTACATTTTTTTAATAAAAGAGGAAATTGACGACATCGAACGTATTGAAAAAATCCATTTCTAATCAAAACACAATAAAAAAGATATATTTATTTTTTGAGAAATTTACACAATACGAATTTTTTGGACAAGAAAAAGTGTTTGATTCTAAAATTTACCACACTGTGAAATTTATAACATATTTTAATATTTTCATAAAAGCCTGAATACATTTGTATTTTAAAATTTATTTTTAAATATTAGCTTTGTAGATTTTTTGCAAAACAAAGAAAATTGCCAACATCGTATACACTAGACGTAAATTAGTACTGTGTAGTGATTAAATGACTAAATCTATTACGCCTAAGAAGCCATTATTTAATCAGCAGCTCGTCAGCTTCTAAGCAATGATGCTTATTGTTTGTGTTTAAACCACTGTATATTTATTTAAAAATTATATGCAAACGCCTGCTCATGCCACGTACTAATACACTTGAGTAAACACATTTGAGGTCAATTATTTACGAAATAAATTCATACACAAATGCGTATATATATATATGTAAGAGTAAATTTCGAATTAGTTATACATAGAAAGGGAAGAGTTTAAAACTACAATACATGTGGTAAAAGGATATAAATGCATACTAAATAATGCAACCATGTGTATATATATTCAAAAATGTATGCGTACTTTCCAGTCTGTATTTGTATGCGTAAACATATTGTATTGCATATTTGATTGCAAGCAAACATGTATCTAATTAAAATACCATGAGTAAGGGCAATGAGTTGGCTATAAACATATGAACGTATCGGTGTAAAGTTACATAGAGACAAAACAAACAACTGATGAGACACAAATTGGGCAGAAGTCCGAGAGAGTGGGTGTGGGGAGGAGGCAGTAAATAAAGAGTTATGTGGAACCAATAGAGAGCGATTGTATAAAGATATGTTGTTGAAATTGGCAATAATTGTTTATAATCTAAGTTAAACTCAACAACACAGTGACAGAGAGAGAGCGAGTGAGAGAAGCAGCCCTACTAAATGCACTTTCTACCTTCTCTTGAATTGTATAGCAAAAAGGACACGTGTGCCGATATTGTGTTGGCATTGATGGCCCAATGTAAACATATCATGCTTACACAGCAAATTGGCAAACATAAATAAATATATTTATGCGCATCAATACGATGTGGACAAATTCAGTACAATGACTATAGACACTAACTGGCAGAAGGATAATTGAAAATATTTAATAACTATTGAAAATTTTGCCGAATTGACAGTTAGCCTTTTTATGAATAGTTAACAAAATTAAATTTTCATATAATAATTACTTTTATTAAGCAACAAGTAAAAAATTATTGCACGCACTATTTAAGAAATAGTTTTGAAAATTGGCAACGCTGTTTCCGATTTTAAGCCACAAAAATTACTTTCAGTGTTTATCGCAAGGGATAAACACCTTCAGTGCAATTTCCACATATTCCCAAAAATATCCTCTTCGGCGTTATGAGCCACTAAAACCAAATGATATTCATGAAAGCCTAATGAAGCATATAACGAACGTTAAATTAACACATGGAAAATGTCACCAGTGCTCAGTAAGATTAGTAAATAACGTGTGTATATTAATTCATTTTATTTCATAACTATTTATGGCATAAATAATAAATTATTTAATATTTATAAAAGCCTTAGGTGAGCAAATGCTATGCTGAGCTTAAAATTATTGTTGTTTGGTAAATATTGGTCATCCAATGTATAGTGCAGGTGATAAAGTGACTAATGAAGTGCGTTACCACCAAAAACCTGTGGATAAATAATCGACAAAATGTTATTACTGACAAATAGAGTAAAGTTTAAATGCACGAAAATATTGAAATTTCGATATTTTAAGCTCAAATTTATTATTATTTATTTCTTTTCTCAACTTTTTTACTTTATTTAATTTAATTTAANTTATTTTACTTTATTTTATTTTATTTTCGTTTCTTTTCTTTTTTTTACTTTAGATTATTTTACTTCATTTTATTTTATTTTGTTTTATATTATTTCATTTTATTTTATTTTACTTTTTTTAATATATGTTATTTTTTTTTTTGTCAAACGCTTCTCTTGATTTTCATCAATGATGATTCCAATGGGAGGAAAGCAAACCGGAAATTTGATAAAAATTTTTAGTTTCCAGAATGTGTGGTAACTGAATTTGTTTCGCAGTAAAAATACATAATAGTTTTTTATTGTAAATTACAATCTTCTTCTATTTGCAATGTTTTTGCCTTTGAACTAGAAGATGAAATTAAAAAAAAAAATTCCATTCATAACTCATCTGCCCACAATCGAGTTACGAAGTTCGGTAAGTAAGAGAAAAATCAGTTCATTTTATTAAAACAATTTTCCACACGTTTGCTGAGAGCGAAGACAATCACGCACCGGTTTGGTAAATACAAGTAAGCCACAGGAATATTTCTAGCTGAGATTACCATGTGAGGTGTTAGTGTGTTCAGTTAACTGTATGCAGGTATACTCCTCCGCAAATGCTGCTAATATAATAATTTTATTAAAAACTTGAAATATTGTAGAAGCAAAGTAAAATCGAGGAATGAGGGCTTGGTATTAAGGTTGTGTTTGAGCGTGCATCACTTGGTTTTGCTCTACTCAGTTGGCTCCGTCAATGCCTTGGTAAGTAAACGCCTGAATGCTGAGCACTCGTATGAATGTGTATATTTTAGCTTTAGTGCGTATGGTCGACATTTTGTTTAGTTCTTCGGCAGGCAGGTGAGCCCGCTTTGCTCAGTTGAAAGTAGGAAGTACATATGTGTATGGAAGGTTTGGCATGGCGACAAATTGGACTAATGCGTGGCACATAACTGTATGCAATATTTACAAACATTTAGCATAGCATGCTTTATGTGCGTCAATCCAATTTAATTTGTGCAAAAATGTAGATATTATAAGTTCAAGAGTCTGAGGAGTTTCTAAAATGAATACAGTAACAATATATCTCGGAAACTAAACTACAGTGCGAGCCTGATAAATGCACTGGTTTACTTTTTATAACAGTAATTAATGTTTTTGAAGATTTACGATATGGAAGAATGAAAACTGGCAACATCGCATACACTACAGGCGAATTTCTTATGTATTGATAAAGGCTTTGAGAAACATAATCACTTTAAACTCTTTATATTTAGGTACTCACAGCCCTCTTTAAAAATAAAATGCTGCAAAGTTGCCAATTTTCCGTAAAACATACTATTAAGGCCAAGAGATTATATTTTCCGATGCTGTTATCTTCCTCCGAAGTCGAAGACGAGTATTTGATTCTACCTTGTCCCGAATTTCACTGCTTAAATAAAATATTTTTAATAAAAAAAAATAAAATATATATTTGTATGGTATTTTTTTTTAATAAGGGCATCCCTCACGTGCATAGCTTGGCACACCAGCAGCAACTACTCCTAACTGTAAACTAGCATGTGAATATAAATAGATTTCCCTAACTACCGTTTTACTATATTTGATTTGCCATGATTTATTTATTTATAACAAATCGTATCCTTGAAAAGTTCAATAGAAATTCCACACGTACTTTTATGTACGTACATATATTATATGATTTCTACATATATTTTAATGTACTGGTATATATGAATGTAGATAAGTACTGATTGCACTCATGCCTATTGATTTACTTGTATGCAAATAAATATTATGGCAAGCCAGCAGCTGAATACCAAAAAAAAAAAGTAGTTCAACATTTTTTTATTTACTTCATTTCTTACATTTTATCCTTTTGTTG